TGATCGCGTCATATCATTGTTCGGTACAATTTATTCGGTCTTTTCGCTTATTCGAATAATTTCGGTTGCCGAACATTCGGTGCATCCCTAATGAATAATAATATAATTATTATAATAGTATTGAAGTAATAAATGTTACTACTGTAATTACTGCTGGGCGGTTTGACCAAAAATCTGTATCGGGGTTTTTTTTTAGGATTGTGGCGGTTTCACGGTTTATCACGGTTTTTCCCTGACTGGGCTTTATATGAATCAGAATGCATGATAGAGTTGCAGAACCGCTGCATTTTAATCACGTTTCAAAGATGCTGCATGAGCAGTTTTTCATTTAAAGCTGCAGTCCGTAACTTTTGGCGCTCTTGCGGTTAATAAACAGAACTGCGTGCGTCTTGCAGAAGAACATTGTTGCCGGAGCTACTTCTCTCTGTTTAGGTCTATGACGAATCACGCAGGTACTGGGCTCCTCCGCAGCGGTACCTACCCGAACCAGTCTAAAATACTCTGAATATAAACATTATTATAGGTGTACCGTAGTGATTCAGGACAAGCCAAAAACACGGTTTGGAAAATGGATTCATGGTTTACTCGCTTATTATATAAATTATGTACATTTTGAACTCAAAAAAGTTACGGACTGCAGCTTTAAGTTAGACTGTATAATTTCCCATTTTGAAGCAAAAACAGAACGGTCTGACTTTAGCTTTGTGAAACTATACTATATAAAACACATCTGAACGAAACAGAAACATGGGCTGAATGAGACGCAGATTCACTCTGACAGCAGGTGGCGCTGATGGAACAGATGCGATACAGCGTTTCCTCAGTTACCGCTGTAAACAAAGCAGCGCTGCGCTATTAAATACTACATTAATAGGGACTTTAAGCAACAGCCACTGATTGTACGGTAACGATATTCTGACGTTGTATTGCACATGCGCGACAGCTGCTTCTTGATGTTCTACTGTAACCGTCTACTATGGGTAAATATGACGTTTTATGATATATAACATTGTAATTGCATTAATATGGGATTCTACCATTAGTCTTTTATTTAATCTGTGTTGATATGTTTTAAAATGTAGCTAATTTTAAAGATTTTTCCGTTCGTACTGAGATATGTCTGCTGTCAGTAACAACACCTCAGGTAGCACTGAGACTAGCGAACAATGTAAGCATTGCCTAAACATCCTCCTCATAAACCGTCATAATACTTCAATAAATGACTGAATGCCGCGTGGCGTCGTCTTGTTTATGGTTGCTTAGTGATTTTTACGTTCCATTCACAGCTGTTGCTTAAAGCCCTTAATATGCATTATGCAGACACAAGATGAAAAGAAAATACCATCTAAACTTTTCTGAAAACAGTCAGTTCCCCTCAGAGACACATTCATATAAACCCCTCAGCCCCAGTTCAGTATTTAGAATTTTCTTCCTATATTTCGCGCGTCATGAACGGTGAGCTTGATCTGCCTGCTACAATATTTTCTCCTCTGTGCGCCCTTCTTCAGCGTCTCTGGCTTCTTTTAACGGCCGTTTACAGTTGGTTTATTTGCCCAATTTAAAGAATTAGTTGTGTGTTATTAATAGTTCTAAAAGTTTTCCAACCATCAGCCAGAAGTGTGTGCAGTTAACAGGGATCTCCTCTCAATTCACAATGCTGTGTACATTTGCTTGGGCACTTTAAAAATTCATACCGTTTGTGTAATTCAAACCGGTTTACCGTTTGAACCGGTATATCGCCCAGCACTAAATTGTATCATAATTATGCTTTCATGAATATGAAATATGTCAATAAATACTAATAAGTACTGTCACTGTAGCTGATTTTCCACTATCGCACTGAACGGTTCTCGTTGCAAAATGTAATTATGCTTTCACGAATATTGTGCCAATAAATATTAAATACTTAATACAATAAAATATTAACAAATACTTAATCATAATAATGTTGTAATAAATACTACAACAAAAATGCTTTTACAAATATTGTGGCAAGGAATGCTAATAAATACTCTCATAATAATATATGATAGTACTAGTGCTGTCAAATTATTAATCGCGATTAATCGCATCCAAAATAAACATTTTTGTTTACATAATATATTTATGTGTGCTGTGTATATTTATTATGTATATATAAATACACACACACAGACATACAGTATTT